TGGCCCCGAATTCATTTTTGTGCACTCTTGTGACAGAAAATCGTTACTTTAATAAAGCTTTATTATGATGAGATGATTTTCCAAAATTAGCCAATCATGATAAAGCCCGCTATGCTACTGCTAATACTGTAATATAGTGAATATAGCCACTAAACCTTGATTACGAACAACCCAATCTCTAAAAATGATATTCTTTCTTCCATTGTAAAAAGTATAAATAACTATACATAAGTTTGCGAGTAGCGAAACGCTAAAAAAGAACACACTTTACATGTTTTTGTTTTGGCAAGAATTAAAAATAAGGTAACAATAAATTTAACACTAGATTAATCAAATCCAATAAAAAATACAAATACCTTGGTAAATTAAGCTCCGATTTATCATTAGAATTGTAAATAATAAAGAGAAATGAAAGAATAAAATTAGGAATGATCAATACAAGTCTTAATATTGCAGAACTTATTGCTTCAAATTTTTTCGAGTGCAACTTATAACTCAATATATGATAAACTAAGAATATTATTATAAAAATTACAATCGCAGCAATTATTTGTGATTTGAAATTATCCCATGGACTCTCTATAATAAAAAAATTAGTCGTGCGATTCAACTCTATCAAACTTTAGAATACAGTCATCAACTCACCTATTGGTCGAAAGCCAAAAGTCGAGTTTAATTCATTTGTCACACCAGTGGAAAAAGTGGTGATTTCTTTGTTCAAAATCATACTATTTAAATTGGAAAATACTCCCGGAACAGTGTTTTCAGTTCTTCCATCAATTGGCAACTCTATATGGATTGAAATGAAAATTTGACCGTCAAAATTCTGGAAGTTCTTATTTGAACTTAAACGCTCCCGACTAACTGGTACTTTATAAGCAAGATCATCTAGTAGAATATCAAAGTATGCTGACTGATCGGTTCCAGACGATTTTAAGAATTTTTTTGAAGCATCCATAGTGAGAACTGCTAAACCCGTAGCAGCAGTTTCTACAAGGAAATATAGTGAGAGTCGTGTGAAGCATATTAAACATAAATATAATGTCAATACCTGAAGGTTTATAAACTAAATGATTTAAAAGATATAAAGATAAAATAGGTGATATATTAAAAACAACTAAAAGGTACCTGATTTAAGAATCCAAACTTCACTTTCAATTCCTCTTAAAGGTTCATTAATATCTTTAGCTTTAGCAAAATTATTATCAATTTTCACATAATACTTCTCTCCGTACTCATTAAATGTGCTATCAATAATACTTATATTGACAACCATCCCATCATTACTGAGTTTACAGAACTCAGAGGTTACTGAAACTCTCTGCCTAATGCTGTGGTTAGAGGCTTGGTAGATAGTGATGTTGCCAGTTGACAAATAAACGGGCGAAGAGAAATTGACACTTATTTTGGTGGTTGATAAATCGACACTAGAATTAATGCGCGGGGTAACATTGGCAATCATCCTATTACCATAACTATCATAACTTCTTACTAAATAGATATAATAACGAATGGTAAATAAGTATTATAGAAAAGAAAGAATATTTGAATATTTATGAGTATTTGGTTATGATCTATGTTTATAATTTTAATTCTATCAATTTATAAATTAACTTATACTCACAAACTAAATGCGAATGCAATAATAAATAATAAATGGTAAATAAGTAAGTATTTATGAATTTATGAATAAGAAGAGCATTCATGAATATATATTGATGTTCATGATTTTAATTCCATCGATTTATAAATCATCTTTATACTCACTGTCTAAATTAATGCGAATGAAATAATGAATAGTAAATAAGTATTATAAATTTATTAATAAGTATTTATATTCATGATTTAATTTCATCGATTTATAAATAATCTTTATACTTACTGTCTAAATTAGTGCGTATGAAATAATGAATAATAAGTATTTATAAATTTATGAATAAGAAAAATTTTATTTATGAGTAAGTATTTATATTCATGATTTAATTTCATCGATTTATAAATAATTTTTATACTCACGGTCTAAATTAATGTGAATGAAATAATCAATTTATGAATTTACAAATAGAAAAGAGCATTATTTATGAATAGGTATTTATAAACATACAATCTGGTAATTGTAACTGAACAGCAAGCAAGGACCAAGATGTACTTTTGCTATTTCCATCTCGTAGAGAGAATAAAAGAGTATTATTTTTCAAGATGCTATGTGCGCCAATTCCAGTTGTATTAAAATATGTTATATTAACTTTCGAATACGAATTGTTAGAACTATAATGATCCACATCATAAAGATAAATAAAATAAGTGGTGTCAACTACAGCAGAAAATACGTATCCGAAAACAGGTGTCGAAGACACACTCCAGGGTACACTAATTTCATTGGGAGTGTGAGGTAATTTATTGGGTGGTTGAATACTTCCTGAACAAAACCAAATTTCTTCATAGTACACTGTGCTGTTGTAGATGATGGAAGCAACACAATAGTAACAAAATCCAAAAAATGTATTACAATGAACTGCATTAATTCTCATTTTAGTTCTAGTTATTTGAAAAAGACTGAATGAGGAAGTTTTGTTGTAGGCTATAAATCTAGCATACAATCCG